TGAGTTCTGTTCCCAAGGTCTGTCCTTAAGCTGAATTTGTATGTAAGCTGGAACAGTATTATTGTGTAAGTAGTATCGTGTAATGAACTCAAATCATTGTGTATTTAACTTGAATTTTGCTACAGTAGGCTCCATTCTTAACTATGGGTCGTCCTTAAATTGAGCGTACTTAACCTGGGGACTTGTATAAACTAAGTTCAGAAAATTAAAAGATTGCCTAGTCTTACATACTGTATAGGAAGGATAAAGGTATCAGTATTAACTGTATTATAGCAAGGTTTCTAAATTTTTAACCTCTTAATAAAAATAGCAACTGTGCAAAACTTAGCTACTATCCTGGATATTTCAAAAACATTTGAGAGAAACTGAGTGTTCTCATCAGACCAACAACAGCCATGGCTTAGAGCCTGGTCATGACATTGGAAATTATTGTTCAAATTTTCTGTTGGATTAACAGAAAGTAGAAGCTTCACAACAATAAAAAACATCATTTGGCATTTAAGTGGTAAAACCAGGGACACACTACAACCACTCAAAAGACTACTGCTTCTACTTGTGCCAGTAAACTGGCACGGGGTTCATCTATACAAGAATGATCTAACACCTGTAAGAATTCCAATAATTATCCATTATGCTTTAAAAGGGAGCAAACTGAGAGATGCCTGATCAGGGAACAACAGTCGTAACAGCTAAACACAACCTCCATTTTCAGACGCAGTCTACCAATCATTCCATCTCCCTATATAGGTGCCGCGAGTGTGTAGGTAAACAAAAAGGGGAAGAGGGCAGATCTGCTTTTATTCGGCTTGTAGGCTTCCTACAGAGATCCCAGCAAAATACTTCTATGAAAGCATCAGAGAGCGGATTTAAAAAGACGAGGAAGTGACACAACTCTTTCTCCTTTACCTTCACTGCTCGTGGCCTGCGCCCTTCCCGATACCTAGCGCGCGAGGCGCATATCGTTTGCTGCGCGTGGTGCTGACAGACACCACCAACCTCGCTCCCGCGACTGCTCTCAGCTGTATCAACCGCCGCCATCTTCTCCACTTCCGTAGCCTCTGTCGCCTCTTCAAACCGTCATCTAGCTCCTCCCCCTCAAGTACCCACGGCCCTCAAAGGAAGGGCGGAAAGAAATCGGTGAAGACTGAATCCGGCGTGGGAATGAGGCAGAACCGTAGTACTTCATCCAATCACAGTAAGGGAAGGCAGATAGGCCATCCAATAACCTTAGCTGCCCCAAAGAGGGTGGGGGCATCGAAGCCGGAACAGTAGTTCCGCCAGACCGATGACGATCAGGAGCCGCGACTTGCTATGGCTGGTCTCTAAGGCGGCTGTTTCCGGCACCTGGCCGTGGATGGCCGGAGATGGCGGCGATTATGTGGGGGGCGGGAGGATTCGGAGTAGCCGCGGCGAGCGCCTCCCTGAGCGGCGTCAAGGACTGCTTTCTGCACTTGCCGCCTGGGCTGGTTTCCTGTCTCCGTCTGCAGCAGGTACAGGAAGTTGGGAAGGCCGCTGTCCAACTTCCACTCCGGGATCGCGCGGTTTTTCACGGTGCCTCATAGTCGCTTCGTGTGCCCTGTTTGCTGAGATTCAAGTGCCCATTCACAGTTGCAGTAGAGTTTTCTTGGTGACATGTTTCTATGGTAACAGTGATGGGGCATGGAAGTATGAGGCTGTCAGCACCTTGGAGCCTTGGAGCTCTTGCCGGGCTCCAGATAGTATAAAAAGGCCAACTTATGCCCTTCATTAGCTATGCTAAGTAAAAGCAGTTACTCGGTCGAGCCGAAAAGGGTTAAATAAAAAAATAGTTGTTCCTGTGAAGGTTTCTTGGCAACACTGCAGAAGCGATTTGTAATTGCCTTTTTCTGCGGATGTTCTTTCGAGTTTCATCTGGTGTAGGATGTCTTGGTGGTCTTCCATCTAAGCATTGATTTAGTCTTACTGGACTTTTTGTTTTCGAAATCTGCCAAGAGTAGGTGCTGCCACCCACTGGGGATTACTTGCATAGGACATTGAATTTTTATTTATTTGTTTGTTTATTTATTTATTTATTTTCAGACTTGTATGCCGCCCATCTCCCCCAACGGTAGACTCTGGGCGGCTCACAATAATAAAAAAGAAGAAAAAACACAGGTCTCTCCAAACATGGA